TAGACCAGGTGAAGGAATATGCCCTGCCTCGTTGGAAGAGGATTCATAACAAACAACTGAGAAATGAAAATAAGAAAACAAGAAGTTTCAGAATGTGACCGTCTGTGCTGCAAGATGCATTCTGTAGAGGAAGACTGTGAGCACGACCTCCTATTCTACACCGACCGATATCATTGCAGTGCAAAAGTTTTTTTTTTTTCCTTTTTCCTTTCACGCGCGGGCAAAAGAAAACTAAGATTTATGAAACTCGCTGACCTAGGGTCTCATCCCCAATTTCTTCGGGGACAAACCAAAACATTGTAATTTTCCAACACTGGCAGAGGTACTAGTGGTTGAAATCTCACACGTCACTATTTCCAAACAGATTCTACATCTAAAAAATATGCTTGTTGCCACACTTGCCAGCTTGTGAAGGGAGTGAATTCCCCCCCTTAGCGAAGACAGGCGTCGAGTTTGGGCAAGGGGGGGATAACCATGTATGAGGTTGGGGATACTAGTAAAAGGATGAAGAAGTATTATCATGCAACTTCAGGTGGAGAGCAACGATTGAAGATAATTGAGGAGAGTCAGGAGACCCTCACCCGAGGTTCATTTTGAAATGATGATCTCACTCAACGTTCATGACCCGCAAGTTGCGATATAGCGGAAACTTCAGTAAATATGCATGCGAATTTTATTGATTGATCATCATTGTTTTGTGTTTTGGCTTAAAGTTTCCGCTTCAATCAACACGTGCTTCAATAGTTAGCTCGACTTATTTTCATGCTATAATTCCAGTTGTTGTGGCATCTGGTCTTTCTGTGAAACCGACACTTATCATTACGACCAGGTTGTTGTATGATCATCCCATTTTTGTTATCTGTATTTCCGATAGTGTGGGTCGCATGGTTGTTTAAGATCAATATGTGGTTGCTCCCATGCCAAGATCATTGATATAATTTTGCATCTTTTATACATAGTAGCGATTATGGCAAGGTTTGATCCTCTTACTCATTGCCAATAGTATGGGATGAGACGATTGGCTTTAGAAGCAATGATGCTAATCATATTTTTATTGCCCTTCTTCACATTTCAACGACCTTAATAAATTTATTTCACTTGAATTTAGGATACGATCTACATTGAATCTCTTCAATGTACCTCTCCTTGATTCGAGTATCACTACTCTCATAATAATCACAATATTTTATCATTTAATTTAATTTAAAAATGTGATCATACATGCTCAAGGAACATTAAAATAAATAAGAAAAGAAAATAAAAAACATAATCGTGATATTTAATCACCGTTGCTTGGGTTACTCTGCATCAGAGGGGAGGGGGGGGATGAAAATGGTTGAGCCCATGAAAGCATATTCGTGCGGTGTGGCGTTTCATGTTGGTTAAGGTTGTACGGGTGATCCGTGAATTTATGCTTGGGTGAATTGATGGTTTAAACTAGCATTAACATTTCCAATCAAATGTTTTTAATATAATATGGCACATGGTGCATCGTTAACGATGTACCATCCTATTATGCAACACATTATTCATCATAACAAATTTAAACAAAAGGGGATAATGCATTCCAAGGTTTTGCCTAAATGAATCTATCACCCTCAGTTGTTCGGTACACCCTTCAAAATGTGGTGCATGCACATCCGCAAATAAAAAAATGACCACGAAGAATTACTAGTGGTAAAAATGTTTTTTTTATAATGATCGACACCAGATTTATGTGCATGAATTCTTAAGAATGTTTTTCACTAAAAAAATTATCAAAGTCACTGTACTCTAGTGTTTGCCAACCGCATCAATCCCTCACGATCAGCAGAAAAATTGATCTTGCAAATCTCAAATCGAAGCGGACCAATCAAAATGTCAATGTTTAAGTTTTGGGGGCGGCAATGCTTTAAAGTTTAAACCATAAAGTTTGACTGAACTTTTTTGTTTCCAATATGTGATTTGCCTTGCCCTTTAAAAAGTGAATGAATGAGGGGTAGGATTTTGTTGGACATTGCCATTTTTTTCCATTCTAGAGGTGTAAATTGCTAGGCTACCAGAGTGATCCGGGTCCACTTGCCCGTCCAAGCCAAAAAGAAATAGAAAAAATAAAAATCTTTTTTTTTTTAAATTTAAAATTTTATATAAAATTTGGTAAAGAATTTCGATATGACACTAAGGAAAAACTTGTTTAGTTTATTTTTATGCATAACATTTTTTTTTTTCGTTTTTTTTTTTTTTTTTTTTTTTTTTTTTTTTTTTCTGTCGCGACCCTCCGTAGTCCTTGCACGTCTGGGTCGCCCGGTAAAATAGGATGACTCGGGTTGCCTGGGTGGCAGCCCAGTTAAATTGCATTTTTGCATAGTATTAACTGATGCATTAAAACAAAATAGTTGGGTTATTAATTGGTGGTTTGAAAAATGATGTACACTTTTTATATACCGAATGGTCTCTTATGCCCAATTTTATATGTTTGACATTGAAAAAAAAAGGTTAAATAAAATAAATTTCGATTTAAAAGATCTACTAACTTATTTGTAGGTTCTCCCTGTCCCCCTTCCTCCCTCCCTCCCTCCTTTCTGTCTACCGTTAGCAGATTCACGTGTGAGTATGGCATGGTCCTCCCAACTTGTTGAAAGTGGAGATTCCAAGGCGCAATCTTTACTCTTCCATTGCTTTTCTGCCGTGAGCAGATTCACGGTCCAGATTGTTGAAAGTACCGGTAGGGGCATATTGAACATATTTTAGGCCTGAATGATGTCAAGTTTTTTTGGGAAATTTGAACGGCTGTAGGAGGGGCAAATCATGGTAGGTCGCACGCCAGAGGGGCAAACCGCAAGTAATCAAAAATGTCAGGGGCATTTTTTAACTTTTCCCTTTAGATATAATCATCAAATTGACCGGCCCTAGGTAATTCAAGATTGTGGTATTTACTATTTAGTCATTTGACTTCTTTGGAGTTCGAACTCAGATCTGTATTCAACAATTCAGGGGTGTACCCAAACTGAGATAGGCCGGTTGGTTGGCCGTTACATTTCCTCTTTTTTTTTTTTCTTTTTTTTTTTTTTGAGGGATAATTTTTACTCCCGTAAATTGAGATCTATGCCAAAATGCCCCTGAAAGATGTGGGTAGAGCGGAATGCCCTTTTGGGCAAAGGCCGAAATCTTTGTGTTGTGCCGACGGCCTTTAGATCATATAGTCATTCAGCTGACCGCCCCCTGCCCCCGCCGGCCTTGAGATATTCGGTCGTCATTCAGCTGACCGCCCCCTGCCCCCGCCGGCCTTGAGATATTCGGTCGTCATTCAGCTGACCGCCCCCTGCCCCCGCCGGCCTTGAGGTATTCGGTCTTACTCATCAATCACGTTCCATCATCTGGATTCGAACTCAGGTCTTTATTTCAATAATTCAGGGGTGTACCAACTGAGATAGGCCGGTTGGTCGACCGCTACATTTCAGTATTACTCCGATTGAGTAGGTGTCCTGGGACCTGACCAACCGCTACATTTCAGTATTACTCCGATTGAGTAGGTGTCCTGGGCCCAGGTCCCACGTACCCGAATTCTCAATCTCCGACCATAGATTAGGAAGATCGATGGCCAAGAATGAACGATCAGCCTAAGTGGGACTTGACCCCTGGTACGGCTTTTTTCGAGTCCGAGCCGTTCTCGAGCCATTCTCGATCTGGTTCTGTGGTTGGATTCGAGCCTGCGTTCTTTCACTCAAGCAGTTTGGCAACCGCTGATTACTATCAGTCGAACCTGAGTACTTTTTTCTTTTTTTTCTCGATTTATGCGTGTCATCCTTGCGCAGGGGCCATGCTAATCTTCTCTGTATCGTTCCAATTTTAACAAATGTCCCGAAGGACCGAGTACATTTCAGTACTAGTACGGTTCAGAATCTGTGGTTGGATTCGAACCTGCGTTCTTTCACTCAAGCCGTTTGCCAACCGCACATAGACGTGGTATTGGCTAAGTGCGTGGAGCAGATTCGACGATCGACTGGTGTTTCCTAACCGCTGATTATATTATTATTATTATTATTATTATTATTATTATATATTATTATTGTTTTTATTATGATTATTATGATTATTATAATATTATTTTAATATTTCTTTAACCGCTAATTATTCTGCACATGTGGCAATTAATCGCGGCTAGTCGATAAAAAAAAAAAAAAAGCACACAGCAGCCGCTAATTAGTTAATTGCGGCTAATCGAAAATTAGTACTGATGATAACTTATCTCATGACGACACGTGGCAGCACGGGGCGAAGGCAAGCACGAAGAGGAATATGCGATGGTGGAAATGATGGAAGTGAGGCGACCGAAAGCTAGCTCTTTTTTTGTTTTTTTGTTTTTTTTTGTTTTGGTCTCTCTTATAAGGGGAGGAGGAAAATAAGGTTTTCTTCGATCACGGATTGGGCAGCAGTACACCGAGTTTTTTTTTTTTTTTTTTTTTTGACACTGAGGTATTGATTTTCTTGTAGCTCTGTTGATTATTATTATTTATTACCTCATTCCTTTTTAGGTGAATATAAGCGCATACGCGAGGAGCGATCCAGGGGAGGGGGGAGAGAGAGAGAGAGAGAGAGAGAGAGAGAGAGGGGGGGGGGGGGGGGGGGGGGGGGGGGGAGGGGGGGAGAGAGAGAGAGAGAGAGAGAGAGAGAGAGAGAGAGAGAGAGAGAGAGAGAGAGAGAGAGAGGCGTGGAGCGAGCGTGGATGTGAACGTAAGAAACCAACTTTTTGATAAGTTTTTTTAATTTCTGGGATTTTTGGGTATGGATGGGTCGGGTCGGATTCGGGTCGCTGTGGCCTAGGAGCTAAGAGATATCCACACGTGTCCAGATCTGGATCCGTACAATATTGAATCTCGATCGGGATAAGGTCTAATTTCGATCTGGATAAGGTCGAAAAAACACGATCTGGATAACGACCGGTCTAATTAGTGGTTGGGCTTGGGCTTGGGCTTGGGGTTAATTAACGTATCCCAGATCTGGATCGGCATAAGGTCGACTCTCGATCTGCATGTGGTCTAATTTCGATCTGGATAAGGTAAAAAAAACACGACCTGGATAAGGCAAAAAAAACACGATCTGGATAAGGCCGATACGACGATCTGGATAAGGTCCAATTTCTGGCAATTATTGGTTGGGCTAGTGGTTAATTACTTAACTTTCTCTCCTTTTTTTTTTTTTTTTTTTTTCTTATCTTTCTCTCCTTCTCCGCACGCCGGGCGGGTTTTCAAATGGGGTCCAGCTTTTCTCTCTTTCCTTCGACAAGCGGCACCAGTGCGTCGTGCTCCTCAAGCGATACTGCAGCTCAGTCGCACAGCGGCTATGGTGGAAGAAGCTCCTCCATAGCCACGCGAGGAAGGAGGCCGCGATACCATTCTCGTTCTCTCACGCTTGTGAGAAAGGAGCAAGTGTACGGAAAGTACGGTAAAGCAGGGAGAGTAGGAGGAGGAGGAGGAGGAGGAGGAAAAGGAGGAGGAGGAGGAGGAGGAGGAAAAGGAGGAGGAGGAGGAGGAGGAGGAGGAGGAGGAAAAGGAGGAAGTAATAGCGATGGCGGAGACCGGAAGGGAGAGGGGACGGGAAGCGGCGGCTATGGGGGTGCAGTGAAGGGGGTTGAACGACGGCACCCTTATGTTCCTCACCCGTACGCGCCTCCAGCCCATCGACGACAGCCATCAAAAGCCATTCCAGATCGGTACACCACTTTCGAACAGGTATGTTTTCTTTTTTTTTTTTT